CATCGGATGCCTCAACAGTGATAATACACAACTCTTAAGAGGGCCGATAACGGGATAAGTGTCGTTGTGAGTTCCCTGCGGGAACGGACACGATAATTAATTTTTTTCTTGATCCTTAATATACTTTACCAATGCATGCATTTAAAAAACATACCAGAATATTATCAAATTCTGCCAAGTTTTCTGTCGGCATTATCTGCCATAGGCTATCTTTCCATGTCATACATGCTGATGTGAATGCTTTGGAGTATCATACCTTCTGGTGTTTCTGGTGTGCTCAGTTGTCAGTGCACAAACACATCAAACTGGTCACAGCGCACGTACGCTCAAGTCTTCAGCGATGGTGGCTGCCCAGAGCAGCTGCCGTATCTTCCATTCAAGCTGCGCGAGTGTAGCGGTAAGCGTACTCTGAAGTGAATGCTGCACGGGCAAGCACATGACTGTGATTTATCTCTTACAGTTGTGAGTGTATTTAATGATAATATCACAGCTACTGCAGAATGCAACATACTAGTTGATATCCAGCCCTGCCCTAGCTTCTCCTGCTTTTCAGTTCCCCTTTCTTTCTTTTTCTTTCTCCCCTCTAGCTCTATTACCGCCATGGCTGGCTATCGCCCACATCACCATTTCATTGGCTAGTGCCACGTGATTGTGAATAAATAAATAAAATAAATAAATCTTTATGATAATGAGAGTTGGCTAGAGCAAAGGAAGACAATGTCAATTTAAAACTATTATCTACTGTGTTTTGATCTCTTTCCGCTTCTCACAGCCTGCCATACGTCATGCTCGGAGTGCACTGGCCCCACTGATAATGACTGCTCTGCATGTGCTCCGGGAAAGGTGCTTGCAAACAGCCACTGTGTGGGTAAGACCGCAAAGCAACAGCTGCTCAATTTGCTAAAGAATTTTTATCTGAGAAGTAATTTCTAGGCATCCTGCAGCTTAATCCGTAGAGAGAAGTAGGGTGGACACACCCATTCCCACAGCACTGCAAAACCGAACTGATTCCTTTTATAGAGTCGGCGTGGAGAAAGCAATTTTATTAGTGCAATTAGGAGTATAATCGATGCAGACATGGCCAGACAACAACGAGTTCATGGAATTTTTTAAGGATTTTTATGTTATTCAAAATCGATTTTCGTGTTCCGCTCATCAGTGAATAGTATCGGAACTGAGGGTACTGTGTACAACAATAGAACATTTTATAACAGCATAATTAATTAAAAGTGTGAACAACAAAGGAAGTGCTACAGCATTACATAATAGGTGTCAAACATAGTGCTAACGTATATAACTGAGTGCAGCCACAAAGCAAGAGGTGATACAGTGCAACATGACACAACATTTACATCTGATAACCAGCTACGAGAACAACTTTAGCGCGACTACATGCTTCTTTTGTTTACAAAGAACAGGATTATGCACACGAATACATACAGCTTCCAGAACCTTCAACTGCTTAACATAACTTGCACGGCACAAAACAGAAAAGTGAGAATCATCGTACACAACAAGACAATCTGGACGTGATAACAAGTGACAAAATACAGCTGACTTTTTGCTCACGTCGCTCTCTTCCGTCTCATCCCGCTCCTTTCCTTCGACCTCCTCCGCCTTATCCTCGTCCTCCGTCTCATCTTCATCATCATCGTCCTCATCACCACCATCATCATCATCAGTCACTTCCTCATCATCCGTTTGATGCTCAGTCTCACTGCACTCCTTATCAGCCTCCAACATGGCTCCATCATCTCCACCAGCATCACAAGTCGTTTGACCGCTGCTCCGCGTCACCGTTGCTGGGTTCTCTGCTACTGCACACCCATTTCCACTGTCCATTTTGCGTGGACCAAGTCCATTCCGTGCATAAATTTCAAGTGAATAGTTTGCTGTGCTTCTTCTGGGTCTATGGGTGAGGATATTGGTTTCATTTTGGTTTGTCGATGATCTCCCTCTCTGTCCAGACACAGTCGGCACCGTGGATCCCAGCACCGGGGGGACCACCGTCTCGGTAGTCACCAAAGGTAAAGGGGGTGGCCCTTGCCTCCGCCTGAGCCACCCCCTTTACCTTTGGTGACTACCGAGACGGTGGTCCCCCCGGTGCTGGGATCCACGGTGCCGACTGTGTCTGGACAGAGAGGGAGATCATCGACAAACCAAAATGAAACCAATATCCTCACCCATAGACCCAGAAGAAGCACAGCAAACTATTCACTTGAAATTTATGCACGGAATGGACTTGGTCCACGCAAAATGGACAGTGGAAATGGGTGTGCAGTAGCAGAGAACCCAGCAACGGTGACGCGGAGCAGCGGTCAAACGACTTGTGATGCTGGTGGAGATGATGGAGCCATGTTGGAGGCTGATAAGGAGTGCAGTGAGACTGAGCATCAAACGGATGATGAGGAAGTGACTGATGATGATGATGGTGGTGATGAGGACGATGATGATGAAGATGAGACGGAGGACGAGGATAAGGCGGAGGAGGTCGAAGGAAAGGAGCGGGATGAGACGGAAGAGAGCGACGTGAGCAAAAAGTCAGCTGTATTTTGTCACTTGTTATCACGTCCAGATTGTCTTGTTGTGTACGATGATTCTCACTTTTCTGTTTTGTGCCGTGCAAGTTATGTTAAGCAGTTGAAGGTTCTGGAAGCTGTATGTATTCGTGTGCATAATCCTGTTCTTTGTAAACAAAAGAAGCATGTAGTCGCGCTAAAGTTGTTCTCGTAGCTGGTTATCAGATGTAAATGTTGTGTCATGTTGCACTGTATCACCTCTTGCTTTGTGGCTGCACTCAGTTATATACGTTAGCACTATGTTTGACACCTATTATGTAATGCTGTAGCACTTCCTTTGTTGTTCACACTTTTAATTAATTATGCTGTTATAAAATGTTCTATTGTTGTACACAGTACCCTCAGTTCCGATACTATTCACTGATGAGCGGAACACGAAAATCGATTTTGAATAACATAAAAATCCTTAAAAAATTCCATGAACTCGTTGTTGTCTGGCCATGTCTGCATCGATTATACTCCTGATTCCTTTTATGTACAACGTTTCGGCAAAATTGCCATCGTCAGGTACGAATTTTTATCTGACACGATTATTTGAAAAGATGAAGGCGTGAATGTACTTGGCTGTACAAGTTTTTGGAATAAAATCAGTTTACTTCGAAGTAAATGTTTTAGCAGTCTCAACAGACTACAGGGTACCCAGTGTATGGGTTGAGTATGGGTTGAGTATGGCCCGTTGAGTATGGCCCGTTGAGTATGGGTTGAGTATGGGTTGAGTTCTCGGCAAAATGGACCGGGGCATGAATACTTCAGTAGTACGAAGGAACTCGGAGAATGTGTTTTAAAAGAATCAATGTTTGTAATGACCAGATATCACCGGACATGGCCACATTTCCGATTTCGTTCAAGTTGGCTCCTTTCATCTCTGGGTGAATCTCATTCACCCACCATGACAGTTTGGTCCAGTAACGCCGTGTTCCTTAGACATAGCCCCAAATCAAGGATATAGGGTACAGGGAAGACAATGTGAAGTGCATGGTTTCTCGACAAAACGATGATATGGGCGAGTGTGCTTTGTTTTTTTCCATTTGTACAGGTGTTACAGGTACAAGGTGTATGGTGAACACTGACGGTTTCGCTGAGCAACCATGCTTGAACAGCGGTATCTGCTTGCATCTGGTCAGTGTACGTCCTTGGGTGCTTGTACATGTACATCATGTGTACGTATCAGCGTGAACAGTATCCACTCGTGATATGAACCACAGCTGGAGGTGCATGTTATATATTGGTCCAATGGCGTTCGGGCAGTTGTGAGAGAGGTTCACATTTTTTTTAAACAAATGTGAACAAATTAAAATAGAGAGGTTCTGCAAAACGAAAATTCGAACGTACATGTAGTTTCGCGACAGTCCTTGCGAAAGTGTGTACGAATTTTTGCACGAACTTTGCGTTCTGCACATTTTCGTAGTTTGCGCGGGCCAAGTGCACGTACGCCATGACCCGATCCGATCTCACGAAATTTCCTACGACAGTTCATTTCGTGTTCCCTGCAAGTTTCGCTTCCAAAGTTGCGAAAGTTCGTGCGAAGTTTCGCACCTCATGATGTTGTAGTGATTTGCGATAAGCCTCCGGTTTTAACGATTTGTTTTACGGAGATTTTCCATGTGTTTTGAAATTAAATTATTTGCATTCTTTTATGATAATATGTTATTTGATATTTCTTTGCATAAATATGTAGCGTACGGTACTCAATTAGTACCACGTGGATCTACGTTAGGTTTGTCCACTTTTGCTAGGGTACTCATGCATGCACGTGTCTTTCTTTACCGTACACCATTCGTGTCCTTTGCCGGATATTTGTACTCCTTTTATTGCGCGTTGTAATTATTACATGTTTGTACATACGCTAACTTTGGCGCACTACACATTCTGTATTTTCTCTTTGTTATGGCACAAGGATTCAGAGAATCCTTCAGTAGTCTAGACATTAGTCTTCACCATGCGGTTTGGCCTTTCGGTGTTCTTTTGCAATGAATAACAACAGTGTAGTCTGAGTAGTTTTCCTGTGGATTCCCGGTGGATTTTAGAATTGAGATGTGCTAGACGCATCAATTGGTGACCCCTCGAAACGAACTCGGATGTCCTCCTCGGGCTTAGGAATGGACCAAGCTGTCACCCCTGCTCGTGGTGACCTTAGCAAAGGTCTCTCTTCTCGACTACATTCGCCATATCTGAACAAGACAGTGCAGGACAGTACCGGTAATGGCAGCGATCCTCAGTCAAGCACCGCTACTGATGTAGCTACGAGATCCCAACCTGCCGCTGCAGCACAATCGGATCCTGCTCCTCGTCCTGAGACTGTATCAACCGTTAATTTGAAGATTCCACCCTTCTATATTCAAGACCCAGCTCTGTGGTTTCTTCAGGTAGAGTCTCAATTTATCACACAACGAGTAACTAGTGAGCGCTCCCGTTTCCACCATGCATGTGGTTGGTGCACTGCAACCGGAGATGGCCATGCAGATAAGGGATTTACTGCTGAACCCACCCAGCGACCGCCCTTACACTCACCTGAAGGAAGCATTGGTCCAGCGTACTTCTGCCTCTGCTCAGCATCGGATCAACCAGCTCCTATCTGCTGAAGAGCTTGGTGATCAGAAGCCTTCTACCCTATTGCGCAGACTGCAACAGCTAGCTGGTGATACTCCAGTGGATAGCCAATTCCTCAAGGAGTTATTTATGAAGCGTCTGCCTGATCAGTGTAGAGTAGTACTTGCAGCCAGTCGTGAGTCTGATATACAGCAGTTATCTCTGCTGGCTGACCGTGTCATGGAAGTCATGCCAGCCCATGTCCGTGCTGTTACGGTGCCAGAACCCGTTGCTGAACCTCTGGCGGAGTTGCGTGCCGAGGTCGCAGCCCTCCGCAGAGAGATGCAAGATTTGAGTACTCGTGGGCGTTCAGCATCTCGATCGCCCACACGAAACTACGGTCGTTCGCGCAGTTCGTCGCAGTCCCGTAAGTCCTCAGGATTGTGCTGGTATCACGACAAGTTTGGTGACAACGCTCGTCGCTGCGTCCCACCCTGTGCCAGAGCAGCTACCTTTGTGCAGCCGTCAAACTCCCAGGCCGGTCGGTGAAGGCGACCACTGCCCCCGGCCCTGCACCGTCTCGTCGCCGATTATTCATCCACGATCGCTTCACCAAGCACGATTTTCTCGTGGACACCGGCGCCGAGGTCAGCGTTATACCACCATCTGCCACTGATTCTCGCCATGCAGTTGATTATGCGTTACAAGCAGCGAATGGTTCTCGCATACCGACGTATGGTACACGCTCAGTAACGGTGGATTTCGGCCTGCGTCGTAAGTTTCAATGGGTGTTCATTATTGCTGATGTGACATCACCTATTATCGGTGCAGATTTCCTGGCACACTTTCGGTTGAGTGTAGATCTACACGGTCGTAAACTGTTAGATGGCATCACCAGTCTGAGTGTGTGCGGTCTAGTCTCGTCCTCCGCTGAGCCGACGTGTTGTTTGCCAGTCTCTGGTGATAGTTCGTTCAACGCTCTTATTAATGAGTTTCCATCTGTCACCCGCCCCTGCAACTACGACACACCTGTGAAACACAACGTCGAGCACCATGTGGTCACCACGGGCCCACCGGTATTTGCCAAGCCTCGCCGTCTCCCTCCTGATCGTTTAGCTGTAGCTCGTCGGGAATTTGACCACATGCTCGCTGCGGGCATCATACGACCATCGTCCTCCCCATGGGCCAGTCCATTGCACATGGTTCCCAAACCAAATGGTGACTGGCGCCCATGTGGTGATTACCGTGGCCTGAATCGTGCAACTGTGGCTGACCGGTATCCGATACCGCACATCCATGATTTCTCTGCCAATCTTCATGGCGCCTCAGTCTTCAGCAAGATAGACTTGGTTCGTGCATACCACCAGATACCAGTGGCAGAGGATGATATCCCGAAGACGGCCGTTACGACCCCATTTGGTTTATTCGAATTTGTTCGTATGCCCTTCGGACTCCGGAACGCAGCCCAATCATTTCAGCGTTTCGTTGATCAAGTGTTGCATGGCCTGGATTTCTGCTTTGTGTATATTGACGACATCCTAATTGCCAGTTCGGATCCTGAGACGCACCGCAAGCACGTCCGCTTGGTCTTACAGCGTCTGCAAGAGCACGGCCTCGTCATTAATCCTGCAAAGTGCGTATTCTCTGTTTCTACCATCGAGTTCCTCAGCCACAACGTCAGTCGTCATGGTATTGAGCCAACTTCCCAACGTGTTCAGGTTATTCGGCAGTTCAAACCACCAACTTCTCTCCGTCAGCTTCGTGAGTTTCTAGGTATGGTGAATTTCTACCGTCGTTTCCTACCTAACTGTGCCGCCATCGTGAAGCCTCTCACGGATCTGCTCATCGGCAAACGTAAGCATGACTCCTCGTTCTGTTGGACTGAAGCTGCTGAATCTGCATTTGATCAAGTGAAATGCCTTCTAGCTACCACTACATTATTATCGCACCCTAACCCTGAGGCACCCATCAATGTCATGTGCGATGCATCTGACTATTGTGTCGGAGCTGTGCTTCAGCAGTTTGTCGACGGTGCATGGCAGCCGCTAGCTTTCTTTAGCAAGAAGCTTTCCCCTACTGAATGCCGCTATCCTACTTTTGGTCGCGAATTACTGGCTATGTATCTAGCTGTCAAGCACTTTCGCCACTATGTTGAGGGCCGGTCATTTCATATCATGACCGATCATAAGCCGCTGACCCATGCCATTCACTTGCCGTCAACTCGCCATTCTCCCCGTGAGGCACGACACTTGTCCTTCATAGCCGAATTCACCACTGATATCCGCTTTGTCAAGGGCACTCAGAACATCGTTGCCGACACGTTGTCACGACCACTGGATGCTATTGTCCAGCCATCCTCAGTCGACTTTGCTGCTCTCGCCACCGCTCAGAGTAACTGTCCTGAATTCATCGCTCTCCGAAATAATGATTCGTCCAGTTTAGTGTGGCAAGAAGTTGCTTCGCCTGTCTCTTCTCAGTTGCTATGGTGCGACACCTCCACTGGTTCACCTCGCCCGTACGTACCTCCCGACTTCCGCCAACCCGTATTCAACATGCTGCATAATTTGTCTCACCCTGGTATTCGTGCTACACAACGTCTCGTTACCGCTCGATACGTCTGGCCTTCCATGAACCGTGATGTGCGCAACTGGTCTCGTTCCTGCCTGTCATGCCAACGATCGAAAGTGCATCGTCACACTAAGACCCCTCTTAGTCGCTTCATGCCACCATCTGCTCGTTTCGACCATATTCATATTGACCTGGTCGGACCACTCCCATCTTCACAAGGTTTCACGTACCTACTCACCTGTGTTGATCGCTTCACTAGATGGCCGGAAGCCATTCCTCTCCATGATTGCACCGCGGAAACCGTCGCATTCAATCTGGTCTCTGGTTGGATTGCCAGATTTGGTACGCCGTCAACTATCACGACAGATCGTGGTCGACAGTTTGAATCTGTTCTCTTCCAGTCAATATGCAGTCTTCTTGGCTCTAATCGCATTCGTACGACAGCATATCATCCACAGAGCAATGGCACTGTGGAACGTTTCCACCGCCAGCTTAAATCTGCTCTGACCGCTACCCAATCAGCCAACTGGTTTCACCGTTTGCCGCTCGTTCTCCTCGGTATTCGCTCCGCTCTACGCACCGATCTAGATTGCAGTGTTGCCGAGCTGGTTTATGGTACAACCCTCCGTTTGCCTGGTGAATTCTTCACATCTTCATCTGAGTCTCTTCTGTCAGCTGCTCCGTATGCCATTGCCCTACGGACCATGATGCGTGACATCCGCCCTGTCGAGCCGCGAGATGCTCCTGCTACTCGAGCTACTCACGTTGCCCCTGCTCTTCAGTCCGCCACCCATGTCTTCATTCGTACAGATGCTGTGAAGAAACCACTGCAACCCCCATATACTGGCCCACACCCAGTCATCAGTCGTGCTGAAAAGTACTTTGTGGTCAATGTCAATGGTCGACGGGACACCATCTCGCTTGATCGGCTGAAGCCAGCTCATATGCCTTCGCCATCAACTGTGCCCACTCCAGCTGTTCCTGTTCAGTCGCTTCATGCCCAGCGACCTCCTCAGCCTATCCGGTACGTACACTTTGAAGCTCATTGAGTGACTGTTGATTCTGTGGCTATGCTATTTGTACATGACTTGTAAATATTCACCATGAACATTCTTGTATATAACAGTTATCACTATTCTTACATTTCACCATTGTCGTTTCTCTCTCCTCTCAGTCTTTTCGTGGACTTTCTTTGCATTTCCGTCCACTGGTGGGGGAGTATTGTAGTGATTTGCGATAAGCCTCCGGTTTTAACGATTTGTTTTACGGAGATTTTCCATGTGTTTTGAAATTAAATTATTTGCATTCTTTTATGATAATATGTTATTTGATATTTCTTTGCATAAATATGTAGCGTACGGTACTCGATTAGTACCACGTGGATCTACGTTAGGTTTGTCCACTTTTGCTAGGGTACTCATGCATGCACGTGTCTTTCTTTACCGTACACCATTCGTGTCCTTTGCCGGATATTTGTACTCCTTTTATTGCGCGTTGTAATTATTACATGTTTGTACATACGCTAACTTTGGCGCACTACACATTCTGTATTTTCTCTTTGTTATGGCACAAGGATTCAGAGAATCCTTCAGTAGTCTAGACATTAGTCTTCACCATGCGGTTTGGCCTTTCGGTGTTCTTTTGCAATGAATAACAACAGTGTAGTCTGAGTAGTTTTCCTGTGGATTCCCGGTGGATTTTAGAATTGAGATGTGCTAGACGCATCAATGTAGAGGGAAAGTTTGTACGCATTTTCGTTTTGCAGAACCTCTCTATTAAATATCTAAACAAAAACTTTGCACATGACAACTGTACGTGAGATTGCGCATGTATTCAGAAGGGATAGTTGAATTGGCATACATGTACATGTACATGTACATGTACATGTAGCTTTTTTTGAGTTCGGAACACTCAAAGCTAAACTGTAGGGATCGACAAGGAAGGAAACTCTAGTGAAAGAACCACACGACATTGTGATGCAGCCTCTTTTACGGGCAAATCAAACACAATTTGCCATGGTGGAGGAGTTGCATGAAAGGAAAAATGTGATAATGTGGTCATGTACATTAATGTAGGTAATCAGTGATGTACTAATAATGCTGTTGTTTGCTTCACAGGCCGGTGGATACGCTTGTAAATGCATGGCCGGGACAACCGGCACACGTTGCGAAACCAACATGAACGATTGCGCCAGTGCACCGTGTGGAAATTCCGGAACATGCCATGGCGACGCGGGGACGTTCAGTTGCACATGTGCACCCGGCTTCACCGGGGCGGCATGTGAGATTGCCACGGCAACGACACTCACAGCTGCTCCGGTGTCTACAGGAGCTATTCCAGCTGTTCTGGTCTCTACAGCGGTGTCTACGGACGTGGACACCTCATCAACTAGTGGGAGTACACCTCCAACGGACAGTTCTTCACGCTCGCATGCCAATACTACCGCATCCTCTAGTGCCGCACAATCGCACGCCGTTCCTATGACAGTATCGCCGGCATCCATCTCCAGAACAATCCGCACAAGGACACCACCGCCTGCTCCATCCGCTGCTTCAACCCAACCAGCTGACACATTTGAATATGCTCATGGCATACCCACAGCGGTAGCTACGATGAGAAGACGGCCCGCATCTACATCATTATCAAGTCAGAAGTCAACCTCCGCCAGCACTGCATCAAGAAGAGCTTCAGCACCAGCTAGCACTGCATCAAGAAGAGCTTCAGCACCAGCTAGCACTGCATCAAGAAGAGCTTCAGCACCAGCTAGCACTGCATCAAGAAGAGCTTTGGCACCAGCTAGCACTGCATCAAGAAGAGCTTCAGCACCAGCTAGCACTGCATCAAGGAGAGCTTCAGCACCAGCTAGCACTGCATCAAGAAGAGCTTTAGCACCAGCTAGCACTGCATCTAGAAGAGCTTCAGCACCAGCTAGCACTGCATCAAGAAGAGCTTCAGCACCAGCTAGCACTGCATCAAGAAGAGCTTCAGCACCAGCTAGCACTGCATCAAGAAGAGCTTCAGCACCAGCTAGCACTGCATCAAGAAGAGCTTCAGCACCAGCTAGCACTGGTGAGGTGACTGAGGTACAGGTCCGACTACTGGTGTATTCATGACGTCATGGTCAGCAGACTGTTTTAAGTACATGACTGTATACTTTGAAGTAGAGTTCAGTGGGTTACTGGTATGACGCATTAGCCTATTAACAGTAAGAGACGTGGTGCACTCACGTATCTTTATCAAGGTAAACGCACAACTACTTGGGGAGACTAGGCCTTTTTCTAGCCACTCAAACGCTATGTTGATTTTCACTTTGCTTCCTTAGAACCAGAATCTGGCAACACTGGAAGGAATCATGCGCCTGTCATCATTGGTGCAGTAATGGGCGGTGTGGGCCTCTTGTTGCTGACCATGAGCATCATAGTCGTTGCTGTCATATTGAGGCAGCGAACATGGTGAGTACACATACACATACATGTACTGATGTAGCTTCAAGTGTTGCTTTGTACTGATGTAGCTTCAAGTGTTGCTTTGTACTGATGTAGCTTCAAGTGTTGCTTTGTACTGAGGCATCTAGAGTACTTGTACATGTACATGTACCATAGTGGCTTGATCAAGTGACCACTGCATGCAGTAGGAGAGCAGCACTCGTCTTTAGAGACAACCACCTGTATTCAGAGATCACCACCTGTCTTCAGAGATCACCACCTGTCTTCAGAGATCACCACCTGTCTTCAGAGATCACCACCTGTCTTCAGAGATCACCACCTGTCTTCAGAGATCACAACCTGTCTTCAGAGATCACCACCTGTCTTCAGAGATCACCACCTGTCTTCAGAGATTACCACCTGTCTTTAGAGATCACCACCTGTCTTCAGAAATCACCACCTGTCTTCAGAGATCACAACCTGTCTTCAGAGATCACCACCTGTCTTCAGAAATCACCACCTGTCTTCAGAGATCACCACCTGTCTTCAGAGATCACCACCTGTCTTTAAAGATCACCACCTGTCTTCAGAGATCACCACCTGTCTTCAGAGATCACCACCTGTCTTCAGAGATCACCACCTGTCTTCAGAGATCACCACCTGTCTTTAGAGATCACCACCTGTCTTCAGAGATCACCACCTGTCTTCAGAGATCACCACCTGTCTTCAGAGATCACCACCTGTCTTCAGAGATCACCACCTGTCTTCAGAGATCACCACCTGTCTTTAGAGATCACCACCTGTCTTCAGAGATCACCACCTGTCTTCAGAGAGCATCACTCGTCTTTAGAGACAACCACCTGTATTCAGAGATCACCACCTGTCTTCAGAGATCACCACCTGTCTTTAAAGACCACCACCTGTCTTCAGAGATCACCACCTGTCTTCAGAGATCACCACCTGTCTTCAGAGATCACCACCTGTCTTCAGAGATCACCACCTGTCTTCAGAGATCACCACCTGTCTTCAGATATCACCACCTGTCTTCAGAGATCACCACCTGTCTTCAGAGATCACCACCTGTCTTCAGAGATCACCACCTGTCTTCAGAGATCACCACCTGTCTTCAGAGATCACCACCTGTCTTCAGAGATCACCACCTGTCTTCAGATATCACCACCTGTCTTCAGAGAGCATCACTCGTCTTTAGAGACAACCACCTGTATTCAGAAATCACCACCTGTCTTCAGAGATCACCACCTGTCTTCAGAGATCACCACCTGTCTGTAGAGATCACCACCTGCCTCTACAGGCCCGTTGGTTTTAATGACCACGTACACTCAATTGTAGCTGTATACACTCAGCCATGCTGCATGATGCACCCTAATTAGTAATTGCATGTACATATTAACCTGTGCTGAAAGATCACCTTTCTATAAAGGCCAATTGTTTCATGCAAATCCATAGTCAACCCCTTTAGGATGAACATCAAAGGGCCGATGGTGTATTTTTCGCAATAATGAGAGTGCACTGTATCTGTTTTTCTTGTTCCTTGTTTATACAATGTAGTTATAGCCAGTGATTCTGAATACATGGTACACACAGTACATACTCAATGCACAATGTATGCCCAAGGATTCAATGAATAACTTACCCGTACACATTAAATACACTGGGAATACACAGGGAATACACAGGGGAAATACCGTTGAATACACACTCTGTGATTTGTCCAACTTGGTCTTCTGGAGCAAAAAATGGTCATCCATGAGATTCCCCCGTACATGCATGTCATTGTGTGTTCCGCCTGATCAAAGCCTGTCCGTGTTCTTCCACTGTCTTTCCTGGACACCTTGTCTATACAGCAGCAGCACGCTTGCACACTACACCAGTTTGAGATGCAGAGATAGAGAGGCGGTAAGTCGGAAAGCAGAACTCTACACTCGTGATTATCTGCCTGGGACAGTGTTCGTATTGCAGACATCCTCCAGCATGTTCCCCTGGGCGCTGAGTCGAATGGTTGTGGTTGGCAGAAGGTGGTGATGTACATGTATGCCGTCTTGCAAAGTTGGGCCCCCAATCGAACGCTCTCCCACGTCTAACATTTTCACTGAACTATTCCAGTGCTTGCCAGTGACTCCCATTTCAACATCATCTGAAATTCCACATTATGGCTGTGTTTGATTGGGAATAGCAGGCAAGACGGTACACATTAGCCTCCTTGGACCATGGCCATTTGATTCGGCGCCCAAAAGACTTTATTAGCATAGATACTGAAGTGTTGATTTATTCCAAATTTCCACTTTACAATGATGGGTGGCCAACCCGATCTCAACTGCGACTGCAATTCACACTGCTGTCACTCAATCTTCAAAAACATTCTTCTCTGCCCAGCATGTTGTTGAGTTGTGTGTTGCACCAACAGCACACAAACACAATTGCGTGTTACTCCCTCAACCGTGTGACACGATCCTTAAAAGGATCGCCGATGTCGCTACAACCTCTTCTTCAACTTGTTGTTTTACAAACTTAGAAGTTGCGACTTCGGCGGTAATAGTTATGAAGTTGATTGTTCCAACTAGGAACACACGCTTCTTGCCCAACTTGACACTTGACTGTGTGGTGACAGCGTTGTGAATAGCTATACTGGCTCTCAACGTCTGTTTAGCACAACTCCATGAGCGACTCTGACTCACGCTGCTACCTGGGGCTTCACGAGGTGTTTGTCGCGCTGGAAACAAAGCGTCTCTGTGAGTTTGTATCCCTGGTGATGGTTTGGCCTGGAGAGCAGTATATAAGTGGTGCTTTTTCAGGCACAATCTTCCTCAGCCTACTCCTAGAAATCCTGCCCTCTGACCCGGCCCTACCCAATTGCATGTATGTATCATACGTCAAAACGCAGGGTTTTTCCGTGTCGACCCAAGTATTTGGTGCACGGCTTTATATTCTCAACTGTTCTCCAGGAATATACACAGTGATAAAGTGATAAAGTAAAACAGAGAACATGTTCACATGTACTCTTGCACACACACGCACACACACACACACACATGAAAATTGGCAGGACACTACTCCTTGCTAAAATAAGAAAGCATGGTTGACTGCTTAGCCGTTGTCTCCTGGACAACATTGACCCTCTTGAGAAGGCCACGCAAGCAGTCGACATCATGCAGGTCGCACGTTGTAGTTAGTTGTAGAACGTCAGTACCGTCGGTCAGTGTCGTGCAATGTTATCGCATGAGCTGATTGTTTAGTAACTGGTCGTGTTAGTGGACAGTATAGCGTAACTTGTAGTTCCTTGGTCTTTCTCTTTGTATAAATTGAGTTAGGGTTCGGAAAACTCCTAACAACCAACTGAACTATTATTATTATTATTATTATTATTATTATTATTAAGCTTCCGTGGAGATAAAAATGTAATCAACGCAATAAATAGAGTAAGCTGCGCACTCAGTACAAACACCATAAGCAAATCTTGTTTTCATGTAAATAAAGAAGCTTGTTCCTAAACGTTTTCGTCGTCATCTCATCAGAGGATTACTGGCAAATCAACAAAAGCTCTTATGATCTGTTGTCACCTGATATCGTTGAATGGTGTAATGTTTCTTTCAGCTCTCATTTTATCGCGCTACTTAGGGTCTAAATTATTACTTGCATTGTGCGTATATATATTGAGTTAAGAGCTTTTGTTGATTTGCCAACAATCAACTTCATTGTTGTTTTACTTTTATTTTATAGTTGCATCACAAACAGGCATTATTCATTGTTCCCTTCTTACCTGTGTGCACCAATATGAAGAATGCGTTATGCGTTATGGAAATAGGAATGAAATGATTATATAAAGTGAAAGGATCAATAAGTTACAAGTTATGACTAACAGTCCATCAAGATAACGAGATAGTATACAGCCAGATAGTGCGACAACAAGGCACAACACTCACTGGCAAGGATAATGAGACATTCGACGCTGATTATACATCGTTATTTCACTTTTTGATCTCTGCTCCTGCTCACAGGTATTGCCTCTGGAGACAGACAGCAATGCATTGAACAGCAAGCGTACCGCACCACAGGGGTCCGCGTACCTGGAAAATTACAAGGAGCAACGCCCCACCAGAGCGGATAACGACTACGTCACTTCACCCGATGCCATACCTGCACGGTCAGGGATACTGGTAGTCCGCAATGCGAGTCCTGTTCCTGGCGACATGGGGACGTCCAGTCGAAGGTCATCGGAGCTGCAAACGGATCTTCGAGCTCAATCGCGCGACATTCGAGTGGACTACCCAAATGAACACCACCGGTCTTCTAGCCATCAACAAAGCTCTCAATCAAGGCTCAACTAACGACTAGTAACGTAGGCACTAGTAGTGCGAGATCACTAACACCGCTAATAATTATGTGCTAAAGGTATTTGCATACATGGTTTTGTGGTACTGTAGTAGAACTGTAGTCATAGAATCTGTTCTGCATCACCTGACGAGAACGCCCCCCCCCCCCGAAGAATCCCTTGATCTCTGTGTGCACTCCCAGCGCTAGCGCCCTATGCATGGAGGAATGCTCCAGAGCAGAGGGCAACCGTCAAAATGGAGGAGTGTTCCTGAGGAGTTTTGTACCAAGGCTAACTACCAGTGTAGGTGTAGTAGTATACCGTACTGGCAATATATGTTGCCGCAGTGAGGCCATGAAGCGTTACATTGGCACATGTTTGCCGCACGCAGGGCGTTACATGCAAAGTCGCACAGGAGCCGTTACACAGGTTTCTATATTGCCGCAGTCCTTTTTTTGCTATTGCCGCATCACTTTTTTGCTATTGCCGCATCATTTTTTTTGCTTTTGCCGCATCATTTTTTCTTTTCATCCACATTGAAGCCACAGAAATTCAGTTGCTATCCAACTGTTACAAACCCTACGGCAAAGGGCGACAACGATATCAATAGAAGACTGTATATTTTAACTATCAGAGTGATCATCTGTTCACAAAAAGATCATCAAAAGGAAAGTGACATAGGGGAAGAGCGAGTGTCAGGACTTCCTGCTGCGTCCAGTTTTGAACTTTTCACCGCGCGGTACACGTGCTTTCACAGATTTCAGCCTTTTTTTGCAGTGCAAACTGCAATGAAAAGATCGCCGCACCCCGCCGGACGCGCGTTACGAACTCAACGAAAATTTGTCGCACTAGCCTGGTCGCGCGTTACGCCGCACCCCCCTGCGTTACGCGTTACGCGGCAACATATATTGCCAGTACGGTAGTTACATCAGCGCATTCTTCTGACGTCACAGTTCTTGCTTTTTTAAATTATTTTTACACATTTCTGTCGTGCCCTAGGCCCTCTCTACGTGTCCTGTGCAGAGTGCCAGCATTTATATTGATGAGCATGTATAAGCATGCAAGTGAAAGTTTGTAACTATACTGAGAAAGATCAATGATTGTGATGTGTGTGGAAGGCTCGCTGTATTTCTCGCTGCCGCAACAAGATGTAGATCACTCTGACTTGGTGCTTTGAGCCGATTTAAAAATGCTTCGTGATTCACTATCATTTTCTCGGGCTCCGGTTTTTTCAAAGGACGAGACCTCTCTCACACACACCTCAGACCTCATACCTCAGACCTACCCATCGCGGAAGTGATGATAGCGAACAGCTATGTTAGACATAGCAACTTGTGCTGGGATTACACCATTCAACAGCTTGCAAGGCTGATGAATTGACCGCCACTACACACACACACACACACACACACACACACACACACACACACACACACACACACACACACACACACACACACACACACACACACACACACACACACACACACACACACACACACACACACACACACACACACACACACACACACACACACACACACACACACACACACACACACACACACACACACACACACACACACACACACACACACACACACACAGCACACACACACACAGCACACACACACACAGCACACACACATGCTTCACCAAAAAGACCAAAAGAACAGATAATAATCTACGTGGAGATAATAATTTTAATATAGCTATGAATAGGATGAAGGCCGCAGACATCACGCAACTACGTTACTTGTTTGACATGTATTTACTGTGTATTTTATAACAAAAATATTATTGAAAACCCATAGTCGATTTTCTTGTTCCTATCATCAGTGGGAAAAATACGGAACTAAGGATACAACCAAAGAAACTGAAGTTAAGTACTGTAAATAGAAAGGTGTTAGAAATAACAACAAGATACAAGTGCAATAAAACCACTAGGGGAAACGCAAAAAGGTAACAAGATTACGTAACCAAAGGCGAGAAAGCACTAAACGAAGTGTCAACCTACGAATACAACTTCAGTGCAACAACGTGCTCCTTCTGCTTACACAAAACAGGCTTATGAATACGTATGCAAACTGCCTCAAGGACTTTCAACTGTTGGACATAACGCGCACGACACAGTACAGAAAAATGAGAGTCATCATACACACTAAGAACAGATAATCGTCATGAAAAAAGGACTCAGACCATTGTCATGATATGGACTGGGAGCTTTGTGGAAGAACAAGACAATAATATGCAAGAGGAATACCAAATTCACAAGCAAACGCAAAACTTTTGGGAGATGTCCTATAGTGGCTGCTAAAAATATGATTCCAAATCGACAAGAAGCGCTATGTATGGTCCTTCAATAGCAGGTGTGTATATAACAGCCTCATTGGGCATCTGCCCTTGTTTTTCGGATGCCACTTTATGCTCCTTCGAAAAAGGACCTGATTATGCCAAACATTATACCTAATTCAGCTATGCAGGTGTGTATAACAGCCTCATTGGGCATCTGCCGTTGTTTTTCAGATGCCATTTTATGCTGCTTCTCACAAAGGACCTGATTATGCCAAAAATAATGCCGGCATAATCCGCTTACCCCTAGTGACCACGGTGACAACGCAATATCAAAATGGAACTGATCAGCGGTTGTAAACATGTTTACAACTACTGTACTGATCAATTCCATCTTCATATCAATAATATTATAATTGGCTGCAAGCTAGTTGTCATTGTACCGGCTCTACAATGCACATGTACATAGATATCCATACCGGTAATAGCAACACACTCTCTCATGACACGATTCTACAATAAAGTAGCGTAACGTTTAGCTGGATTTGCGGCGGCATGTCCATCACCGGACGTGTTGAGGAACACATCAAGCAAAGACATTCACATCTGCAGGCCACCACTTCGCGTATATGTCCTCAGTGTCGAATGCAGATCTCACCACTACTACTAGTGAGTCAGAGACAGAGGAGAGGGGATAAGTCTCTCACACAAGCGGGCGTGTAAGACCTATAATTATAAGTTTAACCCCACAACTTGCACAAGCCGCATCCTTGTCAACATGGTCAATAAATTTTGCAGTTGCAGTGCAGTTGTCTGTGCTGTGTTTGTAGGGTGCGAGCACATGCTGGTAGGTAACGACTAGACTAGGTCGGACCCTTCTCACCGATAGGTATAAGTGATTCCGCCTGTTGCCGTGTTGCTGACATCAGCGTTGCACTTGAAGAAAACGGTCATACCGGCATCTGCATTGTAGAAGACTTCTTGCTGTGCGCGCACCTAGAACCCGTTTCAATTCATCAAACACCGGCACTGTAGCTAGACAGAGTGTAGTGATTCTCTGTTTTCCGCGTCACGTTTACTTGGTGTGCCATTGAAGCTGTCACGTCGGTAGAATGCAGTAACCCCGGCTGCCATGCATTACTAATAATTATTTATTATTCAGTTTTATTCCAGAAAGGCGTGACGCCAATAATAATAATAATAATAATAAAACAGGTCGCGTAATGAAGCAGCATAACAATAGATGTGCAAAGTCATGATGCCTGGTCCGCTTCTGTCCTGGATTCACTACCCCGTGCGTTGCAGCCGCGAGCAAAACCAGCTCAGGCTGAGAGTTCCCTCCATGATGGCTTGTCCAAAGCGCGCATTCTGAGCCCACTCAGATCAGTCATGGTCTTCAGTGGTATGTCTCTGTGGTATGTCTCTGGCAGCTGTGCTTGCCTTGACTGCCGTGACCAGGTAATTGACGGAAGTAATTGTCCATTGCCTGCTGTGGTGGGCCATCTGAGGGCATCCTCAGAACATGACCCAACATCCGAAAACGGCGGACAGCAACGGTGTGCGAAAGTGGCTGTGTGTGTGCTCTGGAATATACATGTAGGTCTTTGTTGGAGATGATGGCGGGATACCTAATTCCGAACAAGTAAATTAATAGTTCCGTAGTTGACGTCTATGGAAGGCGTTCAGCTTCTCCAGTGTAGCCTCTGACGCCAATAAGGAAGATTGATAAGTGTGATAGAATTGATACTAGCCAGAAACAGCCACATGTACATATACATGTAGATGGAGACTACCCCAGGGAAGACAATGGATCATGAAAACACACGTAGTCTTGTTTGAACTCGGATGGTGAGCCAATAATAGTTATGATGAAGAAAGGAAAAGGACAACATGTTACGAGTGTTCGTTGCGCTTTCCTTCCCCTCTTGGACCTTTCCGAACCTGAGCCTTCCTAGTTGGAAGGTTGTTGGTTTGCGTCTTGGAGAAGTGTTGGAGCTAGGTGTCAGGTTGCCGAATGTCTCAGTACTCCTTGTCAGTTTTGTGCCATTTTGTCGCACTCGCTCACTGTATAAGATGTAGTCGTTTTTACTTGAAGTACATGTACTGCTAAAATTCTACAGATTTTTAGGTTTACATGTCTTCTTCGCCTACATCATGTCCATGTAAGCCCGGAGAGTCTGCAGCTACCTTTTTCTAAAACACTGGTATGCTGATTAGAATCATGATGCACAATATCACTTCTGCGACGCAATGAGGGACGCGATTGAGAGTATTTTCTGCCAAATGTTTGCATCGCAGATCGCGCAGCTTGGCTGTGTGTGCTACATTGTATAGTGTGACCAGACCTCTTCTGCGGGCAAACAGTAGGGTCCGGCGGATTCTGCCGGCAGAAAAATTGGCAGAACTCGGTACTTTTTCTGGTAAGTTTCGTGCATGTTTGGTATGTGGATAAAGAAATGGAGCAGAATTCGAGGAATTGCCCGCCGTAAGGTTTGTGTGGTTCTGCCAATTTCACTGCTTTTCGAGCAGAATCTGCCACCTTTTCGAGCAGAATCCACCGGTCCCTAGCAAGCAGAGCATCACCAGTGCAGCAGGGAGTCGTATAATCCCGGATTTACATGTATGACTCCCTCAGGATCACCAGTGACTGGTTTAGCCCAACACAATTTTAAAAATGAGAACCATGAAAAAATGAACATTGTGTGACTCTTCAAGAGTCCTATACCGAACACGGCTCTGTAATTCAGCAAGTATGGCGTTCTATCATGTCTTGATCGCCTGATCTAGGCGCCCCGCGCCTAGGCCCTGCTAGGTGCAATGAGATTGGGTATTTCCGTGCCAACAGTCATGCGACATGTCAGAATGTAC